AAAGCCAAACAACAGTAATCTTTTAGTTTCATCAGGGACGGGACGGGACGGGATGGGATGGGATGGGATGGGATGAAATGGGATGAGATGAGATGGGATGAGATGTGATGTGATGTGTTTCATATTTGCAGTAACTCGTTTAACATGCTCAGCAACTCGTTTATTATCAGCAACTTGTCTAACTTGATGCATATTCCTAATGGACAACTGAAACTCTGCTGCAGACCTTAAACGTCCTATAGCTAATAATCAACCATTCCCTTTCAAAAGTCAAAGATTTTGCGTAATTATACTTGTACTTCACACCACAGGCGAAAAACAATCATGTCACAAAACACAGAAACTAAACGTACTTGCATCTTTAGTTGATGTTTTCCCTCCAAAGAGAGAATCCAGTTCGTCTGTTGATCCTAAAGAAAAAAGCCAGCTTTTAGAATTTTATGTTTAATGATGCATGCCTAGCTTTGTGGATCCATAGTGAGGGAGAAAAAAGCAGCTCAGTAGGGTTTACGTTTATTGACATTGGAAAGATTACGGTCGTGATGAAAAATACTGCATGTTTTAACGAAACGAACCGTAACGGAGGAAAACAACTCGCAAAAGCATAACACAGAAACTTTTTCAAACCTTGAATTTGATTTGAATCAGGAACAAAATGACGGCCTAGAGCTTTGGAACAACCTCAATATTTGTATAAACCGATTTCTACTCGATAAACTTAATTTAACTATCCAATTCAACTACGTTTAATTGACCAAACAAACTACAAATTATGACCATATAGAATTGACTCGAAAAAACTAGTTTTTATGAGATCAACCCCATTATTATCTTCATGATTGAGAAATGTTTAAATTTACGGTGTTGGGAATAATCGGGCATGATTCAGAAGTACTCACCTTGYTGAACTAGGAAAAGAAGGAAGAATGAAATGGCTAAAGCATCGCTTAATATGCTTTCCATTTTGAATAGCTTTCTAGTATAGACATGAAGGTCTCTTCAGACGTATATACTTGAGAACCACCCAAGCGACTCATTAGTGTCAGTTACGTCATTATATCTCTTGTAACGAAGGCCAATTACATTTTAGGTTTCGCACTTAGTTGCGCACCACTATGTTGTGCAGCCATGACAGTATTTGCGCAGTCGATGTCAGGTTAGATATAAAATATATTTGATGGGTTGCTTTGTTACCACTGGATCATTCATAGTTATTTGTGGTACATTAACTTGAAAACTTGAAAGCTAGAAAACTCTTATTTATATTTAATGTGCGACGTCCTGTGTGTAGTGCTTAGACTGTTTATTCTGCTCTATCTTTGTTCTTCATCGTAGGAAGTCTGAGGTCAAATAACCACTCAAATACAAAAGAATATGACAGAAGATATTGCTCATTGGCTCTCGAAATACGGAGTTTTGATTTTTGCGGCATTTCCACCGCGACTGTCGCGCTTTTGTTATGAAAATAAGATTTTACTGGAGGTGAAAATAGACCTTGAGATAGTTGCAAACATCTTTTGTTCATCATACTTTTATATACCCATTTCAGAAAAGTTTTTCAGAGCCAAAAGCGATAGGAAATAGGTGATAGAATAACTGGAATAACGTTTCTTTTTCATTATCATGAATATTTTCGTCAAAAACACGGAGTTTGGTTATGAGGTATCCATACAGCGATGTTTGTAGTCGACGAAGCCATTTTAAGGATCTCCATTATTTGTGTTTAAATGTATGCCCATAAGTACTTTCTCTCACCCCCTTTGGTAAATACGCAGCCAGTAAGTCCTCCACTGGTCATGACTGGGAAGCTCATTGAGACCATGTAAAATGCGCTATATAAGAACCCCGTTATTTCGCCTTTCGCTCCGACAATCGTTTTTGAAATAAGTGTGTGGTAACCTATAAGCCTCGTTTTTATATATCGTCAAAGGCACAACAATATCTGATTTTGCAGGCACAGCTGTTTCACAATTTTACCTCAGTCAATTTTGTATTCCGCGTGTAGTCGTAAAAACGAGGTATTGAATTACAAAGTCATTGCCGAGGCATGTCCCAAGGAGAAGTCTTCCCATTTATTGCAAAATAATTGACAGAAGTTTGATCAGATTATTTTAATAAATGTGCTTGAGTAAATGTTTACGTAAGTATTATTCGTTTGTTCGGTTTCAGAAGTAGATTAAGGCCCTTTCTAGACGCCGCTCCACTCAAGTGCCGAACTTAATAGATGAATTAAGTCCGAATAAAGAGCGGCGATTCACTCATTTTGTTAAGGCAGTTTTATTTTAGCAAGTAAACACTGCGGTCGAGGTCGGCAGGGCTTGTCGCATTATGCGACACTGGAGAAACAACTGCATAACGGCGCTCTTGCATCATTTTCCGAACGGTATACAAGAATTATGAGTAACTTCCTCCCCCACGTAAAGAAGGGAATTAGGTTTGACACAAGTGCGTCTGAATCGTCTGTTGCACCGAAGTCGAGCTTACTTGTGATACTGAAGTTCGGAAGATGAATTTGAATGCAGCGGCGTTTGGAACGGGCCTAATTAAGCTATTAGTGTTTTAGGGGACGAAAATATGGAAATATGTCAGTCTAGATCTAAAGCAATCCCAAAATGCACATTTTTATTAATCAATTTTTTGGATTTCATTACGTGTTTTATTCTGATTGATATATCATGTTGTAAGTGCATCACTGCGGCTTGATTGCATACATTTGGGTGTAAATTTCTTTTGTTTCTCGGCTTGATGAATCAGATATACCAATGCAACTTACTGATAAATCGTTCCTTTAAACATAATAATGCAACACATTTCTACAACTCCAGAACGGCTAATAGGGGCCAGCTGATCTGAGAGAAAATGTTAGCCAATCAGAATCGAGAAAATTTGCAAAACTTAGGTGTCACTTTTTGTTCTTGAAATTGTTGATTTGCAGGCCACCAAATGAAAAAGAATAATGTTGATAATAAGTTATTGATAACAGTAATAATACGATAACTAATTAGTAGCAAATTTTTTAATTTTTATCGGCTATGGTAGGACAGGTTCTCATTTTTCACTCGTCAGTTTTCACAGGTCAAGGACACCTCAGTTTTGCAGTGACGTCATTTTACGTCATTATTTTAGATCAGCTGAAGAAAAATGAACTGGCAAGCGGTACCGAATGTACCGCGATCCTCATGCATTATGGGTATTGTAAACTTGTTCTCTAAAGGCGATTAAATGATTTGTATTGTTATGTGCGTTTTTTTCCCACTCCTGTCTCACTGAGAGGTGATTTTTGCATTTAACGGCTTTTAATAAAGTCCCCTGAAAATGAGAATAAAAAAGTTGTTGTCAGTGTCGTTGGTATGCGGATTTGTTTATTAGCGCATGCACTCTAACCACTGACCTAAGGGCGCCATGTTTAAAGAAGTTGGGTTTAAAACCGGCAACCAAGTCAAAACAAAAGGCTGAGATATCGCTATAAAAGCTATATTACTTACCAAGAATCATTAGCATTATCAGGAAACTTAGAACCAAATCTCCGTCCTCTGTTTGAAGCCTCTTTAGCTCCTTTCTTCGCCCACTCGCGAGTGTTTTCATGCCGTTCATCGTCACTCAAGGACTTTCTCTACACAGAAGAACAATGGAGATATTGTATGGTGAGTAACAAATTCATTAAAATCAAGGGTCTGATAAAGAAAATAATGTTCAGTGATGCTGAAGGGTTTAGACCAACATACTAAATATTTTCAAGGTTTATTCAAATCAGTAAAATTTAGCAATACAAGTACTTGATACTCTCTTGACCTATTATCTTGTTTTCACTATGAAAACAGTCTTTATTATTTTATTTACATAATCATATTATTATTATTATCAATACTATTGCTATCATTACAAACCCTTGGTTTCTCTCTAGTGTTCTTTCTTCTGTTGTCGTATTCCTCGTCTGAATCCTCCTGGAAACGATTACATAAACAAACTGTCCAAACTCTCCAAGTTATAAAGTAATGAAAGAGTTGTTGTGTGTTTTTGAAATATTATACATCTACAAGAGAATATGAACTAAGAGAAGGAATCCCCGTGCCCCATCATGTGCACACTTTGATGCTATTTTTAGAATCTATTCTAAAAATATCATCCAATGATATCATTTATTTGATCGTTTGATTTTCTGCACGCGCATAGTACGCGCGCGCTCTTCGCTGGTTTGCTAACGTTTTCTTGTGCTTTTCTTATGTTCAAATTTTCAAATCTGCCTCAAGATGACGATGTAGATCGAAAGCTTTGGAAAATAAATGCAAAAATATTCCAGAAAGTTGAACAAATTACTACTTCAATTTCCTGTCGTATTTGCCAAGCTTTCGACATGCACATTCATAATCARGGCAGAGTGACGGAAAAACCCCAAGAACGTAAGCAAACAGCGTAAAGCGCGCGCAGCGCGCGCAGTAAATGCGCGTGCAGAAAAACAAATGGTTTTAAAATAGCATCAAACTGTGCACATGATGGTTACAAGGCTATATAGGGGGATTCCTTCTCTTAGTTCATATTCTCTTGACATCTATACATGATCATCAGAATCTGTATAATCCTATATTTAATATCTAATTTCATCTAATATAGTCTCATATTATTTTTGGTAGAAGTTTTTACCTTTTTCTTTCTGGGTTTCGTTTGCTCCTCCTCGCTCGATTCATCCTGATGAAGAAATTAAATTTAGAGTGTCAAAATAGGCCAGCGGTGTGTGGGGAAGGGAGGGAGGGGGGGGGGGGCGGGGGATCTGGGAGGAAAACTCATAGTTCATCCAGTAGTCAAATTTATGCCCATAAGTACTTTCTCTCACCCCCTTTGGTAAATACGCAGCCAGTAAGTCCTCCACTGGTCATGACATGACTTGTCAGAAGGGTGATAGGCACTTTAAAGGGAATCGACCGACTTCATTCGTTTGTTATCCTTGGACTTCTGAACCGAAAATTTAACTCAAGACAGGAGAATTTGCGGGCTGAAACTTCAGTAAGAAATAAGAATAAGAAATAATAATCTTATTTCTTACTGGTGGGGGAAAAAATCCTAAAAACGGGCTAAATGCAAAAATAACCAAACAGAGCGAAAGAAGTGCTATTTATCAATTATCAAGTGAAATTTCAAGGCTTGATTTCGCGTTTCGATGATTTTATTGAAATTTTTGAAGAATCCCCATACATTTCCTTTTAACATGACACCACAGAAACCAAGCTTGGGCTACCTGTGGCTGAAATGGAAGGATTTTCTTTGGAAGGCTGCGCGAGTACGGTTAGCGCACATAAATAGTTTCGATATTTATTGCTTATTTTCTTCTCACGCTCTTCCTCGCTTGATTTGCATGCAAACAAAAAATTAAATTACCCAAACTTGGTTGCGGATTATAAATACGTAATAAATACCCGATAATAATTTTCATTTTAAATACCTTTCGAGGTTTCTCTTTAGGTTTTTTCTTGCGTTTTTCTTCGTCGCTAGAGTCATCCTGAAAACAAACAACCGCAATATATTTTTTCGTTTACCTCACGGCACTGATGTGTTTAAGTTCTGATAATTTTGGCGAGTTTTAGGAGCCTAAAGAAATCGAGTCTGCAAGCAGGCTACTAATTTTTATCTATTTGTTTTTACCTTTCGATACTTCTTTTTCTTCTCTCTTCTGTCATCTTCACTTGAATCGCTCGAGTCATCCTGAAAACAAACAACCCCAATATATTTTTCGTTTACCTTACGGCACTGATGTGTTTATGTTCTGATAGTTTAGACTAGTTTTCAGAGCCTAAAGAAATCGAGTCTAAGCAGGCTACTAATTTTTATCTATGTGTTGGTACCTTTCGATACTTCTTTTTCTTCTCTTTTCTGTCATCTTCACTTGAATCGCTCGAGTCATCCTGAAAACAAACAACCGCAATATTTTTTTTCGTTTACCTCACGGCACTGATGTGTTTAAGTTCTGATAATTTTGGCGAGTTTTCAGAGCCTAAAGAAATCGAGTCTGGAAGTAGGCTACTAATTTTTATCTATGTGTTGGTACCTTTCGATACTTCTTTTTCTTCTCTCTCTTGTCATCTTCACTTGAATCGTCCTGAATATGAAATATATATATATAATAATCAATCTATATATGAATACACAGGAGACATCAAATACACAAGAAACATGTTAGTCATTGATAGTCATAGCATTGATGAACAAATGACTAACATGTTTCTTGTGTATTTGATGTCTCCTGTGTATTCATATGTAGATTGATTCACTTGAGTGATATCGACCAAATAGGCACTAAATTCCGACTATTAGATAATAACTATTTTGTTTTTATTTCACGTATAAAGTACCATCGCTCTAATAGGCCCTTTGCAGCTAAGCAATCACGTGTTGATTAATTCACTGAGAGCAAATGAATGAACATCTTGACTCCCATGGGTGAAATTTACTGGACTGCAAACAAACTTTCTACAACCTGTTTCGAGAGATCGTAATAAAACTGCATTTCGTAACACACTGGTTACACATGTTTTCATTCAGTTCTTTACAAGTAGCTAAAAAAATTACCAATTTAATATAAAAACAAAAATTTTGCAGCCCAGTACAGACACGTGACCGGTAACTGCAAAGGGCCTATTGAGTGGTTAACACCTATTTCAAAAAATACTTTGTCCATTTGTGACGTAAATCTGAAATCTCGTCATAAAAATCAAAAATATTAGTCTTTGCCAGAAACTGCGAGGAGGAGAATTTGCGGGCTGAAATGGAATGATTTTCTTTGGAAGGGTGCGCGAGTTCGGTTATAGGTAATAATATAGTTGCGAGTGCAATTTTGAAATAATTTGCACGAGTTTGTTCTTGAAGGAGTCCGTAATTGCTTGAGGCCGTAGGAAAGAAATAAGAATAAAAAAAGATTACTCTTCATCTTCAAAAAGTTAAAACACGTTTAGAAATCTTTTTTTTTTTTAATCTTCAAAACTTCAAATATCGGCATTTTTTGAGAAAACAAGTAAGCACATTGCGAAGAAATTTTGCAAAACTTACATAAATAATCAAATATTCTCTTTTTTCAATTTCTATACACTCAAAGGAAAGTTGAATAAGCTGCTTTCTTTGTACAGAAGTATTATTTACCTATTTACAGATAAAGTAGGCGAAAGCTCTTGTTTAAGTTTTAACACCAAGTTTCAACGTCTCTCGCTTCAACTTTCGTGTCAAGTGACTTTAACAGCTGTAAAATGGCCCAACTGATGTTTTCTTTCCTTCTAAATTCCCAAAAAGCGAGCATCGAGTCCTCCTTTTGCCATTCTTAACCTTTCTTGCTGGTTTTCAGCTGATGAAGCTTGACTTTTTTAGCATTTTTTAAATTCATTTTTAAGATGAAAATGCGCCATCTTGAATTTTTTTGAATAATCTGATTGGCTAATTCAATTTCTATCTTTTTTAGCCAATCAGAATCTTAAAAATTTGTAATCTGCAATGGTATTTTCAGAGTTTTGCACTGGTATTTCATTTGAACTGCACTGATGCCAGCCAATCAGAATTGAGTAAATTTTTCATGATTACTATTAGCGCACATAAATAGTTTCGATATTCATTGCTTATTTTTTTCTCACGCTCTTCCTCGCTTGATTTGCATGCAAACAAAAAATTAAATAACCCAAACTTGATTCCGGATTATAAATACGTAATAAATACCCGTTAATGATTTTCATTTTAAATACCTTTCGATATTTCTTTTTCTTCTCTCTTCTGTCATCTTCACTTGAATCGCTCGAGTCATCCTGAAAACAAACAACCGCAATATTTTTTTTTCGTTTACCTCACGG